AGAGCCGGGCCCGGAACACACCCCAGCGGTCCAGCAGGTCAGCCACAGGGTCTGCGTACTGGAAAGCAGGTGTTACAGTGAAGCCTGGGCGCCTGGAAGAGCCCAGAAGCCCTGACCTCCTGCAGCAAGATCCGTACTACTTTTCTAAAAAAGGATTTAAATAACTGGATGTGTTTCAAGATCCTGGTTATTTCCCTGACACCCTGGATTCTTCCATTTCTCTCACTTTTCATATCCAATCCATCAGAAATTCTTGTCAGTTCCAGCTCCAAAAATATCTTGAATCCACCTGGATCTCTGTATTGTCACTGCCTCGTCTGGGCCTCTGTAATCTCTGGCCTGTGGTGGCTGCGTGAGCCTCCAGAATAGCTTCCCTGTTCCCCTTGGGCCTCCTTTCTACCCCTTCACCCCACAGCTGTCAGAGTGGCCGCTGGAAGACATCTGTCACACCACATCACTCCCTGCACTGTCTTCCCGTCGCATTTGGAACGAGGCCCCCTGGTCCCTGCCGGATCCTGTAGGGCTGCAGCCACTTCTCAGCTCCACCTCAAGTCACTTGAGCCACACTGGCTTTGCACATGGTCAGGACCTTTGCACCAGTGTCCCCTCTGCATGGAACACTCTCTCCCCCGCTCTCTGCATGAACTTCTCCTTCTGTCTCCTCATTTTTCAGATCGTGGCTTCCCTTATCACCTACCCAGCCCTTCCTCTCTGGCTACTCTCTGGCCTCACAGCCATTGCCCCCACAGAGCTCACCACCACCTGGTACCACCTTACGTTCCTGTCACCTGTCAGGGACCAGGCCTTGCCTGTCATGTTCCCCATGACATCCCTAGCACTTGTGGGTGCCTACCTCATAGTAGGTCTCAGTAAATACTAGGTCTCAGTAAATACTAGTGAACGAAAGAGCGGACTTGGGATCTGGCTTGTGTGCACGGGGCCACACTGCCCCCTAGAGGTGCTCTGGGCAGCTGGGCCAGCCCAGCCACCGACTGTCACTGGATGGTGCCCAGACAGCACTTCCATTTACTTGGAGCCCAGGAGTTTTAAGGGAGGGAGTTGGAGCCCCGCTCACAGTTGGGGTTCATCCAGCTTGGCCCTATTCCATGGCCTGGGGGAATTCCCCCCAAAGCCGGCTGAACTGGATAAAGAAATAAAGGGGTTATCCCTGAGGGAAAATCTTCATTCAGACTGAGTGGCCTGGGCTGAAGGCAAAAGAGTGGCAGCTCCCAGCCCGATGTTAGGTCAGGCCTCAGCACCAAGACCCAAGTGAGGGGCACAGCCAGTTTCCCTAGGGGCCCAGAGGCTCTGCCAGGGAGGTAGGAAGCACCCGAGGCTGGTGGTCTTGGGAAGGCCAGCGGCAGAACGCACAGCAGCCCAAGTGCAGAGCCAAGGCAGGCACGGCTGCAGGATGCAGGGCTATAAGCAGCATCCTGGTTCCATGGGCGAGTCCTCCTCTCTCCAGAGACATCCTGATGGAGCAGAGTCCAGGAGGTGGCTGGATTTCCTGCCAACCAAGTGGGGTGAGCTCAGGGCTCTGCAGTTTTCTGCTGGTGAGGGTAGCCAAGTGCCGTGTGGGTTGTTTTTAAGGGGCTGACTCTAGCTAATTTCCTCATAATCATTAATGGTGGCGGTGGCATATATCTTTCAAGCGAAGGTCTGAGTCTGGGGCTCCAGGCCTTGGAGATGAAGGTGGGGAATATAAGCTTCATGTGGGCAGGGACTGTCTCTTGTTCTCTGTGGTATGCCTAGTGCCTAGTACAGTGGCTGACACACACAGTACATACTTGCTGGGTGAGTGAATGAAGGAAGGACACTAAGATGGGGAAGCAGACACCGAAGGGCTCTGACAGTCAGCAGAGGGTTGCTTGGGCCCCCGGGCGGCAGGCCAGGAGGTCCTCTGCACCAACAGTGCTGGCTGGGGCTGAGCCCAGAGCCAAGCACTGGGGAGCGGCCACCTGTCAGCAGAGCTTGTGCACCAGGGAGGAGAGAAGCTGGACGGCTAGACTTGAGGGCTGATTCGGCAGAGCCAGCCTTGGGGTAGCAGCAAGAGAAGGGCTGGAGAGACAGATGGAGGGGCAGGTGGGAGCCGTCCAGGAAGAGCGACTGAACAAGGATGTTTAAGCAAGTGCTGGGGATGATGCCAAGAAAGAGTGCTTTCAATTTCGCCAAAGAAAAAGCAGCTCTCAATCCACCAGCATTGTGCAATCTTCCTGTTTGTTATTTCTTTGGTTATCACTTCAGGCTCCTCGGCAGCCCAGAGCGCTGTCAGAAAAGCCATCGGCACCGCAGCACGATTAGCCTTGGTACCATTCATCTGAAAGGGTACCCACCAGGGAAGATTATGCTTTTCCTGAGGCCACGTTCTCTTTACAGTATGCAGAGGTCAGCCCGGGGCTTTGGATTCCCTCACTACCGGCCTGGTGATGAGCTTGGCAGAATGTGAGCAAGTGGGGTTCTTTCTCCCCTCGGCCATGACAGAGAGATGGCCCAAACCAGCAATGCCCAACCTGGCAAAGCAGCATGTGTGGGAACTCGGGGTGAGAGTCCTCGACATGCAGAGAAGGGAGCCACGCAGAGACAGAACATGGGGGAGGAAGCTGCCTGCGGGTCCTTGGAGCAGGTCTGCAGACAGGCAGACAGCTAGCTAACTTGGGCCCCACAGAGCTCATCTTTGGGGCCATTCAGGGTCCCTGAGGTGCCCATGGAGACACCGGCAGTGCCATCAACAAATGGATGGCATTGGCCCTATCAGGGTCAGGGTTTGAGACATGGTCATGGCAAGGATCTCTTCCTAGGAGCAGGGCCTGCCCTGTCTACCCTCCACACCACGCACGTACCTCCGCTCCCCTGTGAAGGGACAGACTAAACCACACTGGGGGCCCTGTGAGCCTACCAGTTCCCTCCAACAGTAGGAGAGGGCCAAGAAAGCACTCTCCTTGGTCAGAGCCAGTGTAGATGCCGGGTCAGAGATTCATACCAAACCACAGGACCAGAACATGTGTGAATTATTTTATCATGATGAATAATTATGATAATAAAGAACGAACACCAGTAGCAGTTACCATGTGACAGCGCCCAGAACAGCACATGGGACCCGGCAGGTGCTCCACGGACACTTGCTGAGTAGGAGTGGGGCCCTGTGCTAAGCTCTTTATGGGCATTATCTCATTTGACCCACCCCATGAGGTAGATGGAATCATCCCCATCTTATAGAAGAAACTGAGGCGAGAGAAGTGAAGCAACTGGCCTGAGGTCCCAGGGCTCATGAGGGCAGTCACAACTCTCATTTGGCCCCAGCAGGTGGATGAATCTTTGACCCTTATCTCTCCCTGAAACCCGTGTGAGCTAACCCAAGGGCAAAGAGGCCTGAGCCTGTAGCCAGTCAACAGATGAGATACATATGCCCTTTCTTGGTTACACTGGACACACGTGTGGTTCCCTGGTCTGTGGATAAGTAGCTTCAGCGGCCGCAGGGAGCAACTTCATGGAGTCTTTGTTCCCAGTGCTGTCACTATGGTAACCCAGAAGCCTCTCAGGCTGGTGCCGTGCACATGGCCTGCATCCACCCTACCTGGGGTGGGAACCTGTCACCATGGAGACAGCTTCCCCGACCTTAACAAAGGGCTGCTTGACAGGGGGCAGGGGTGGAGGGGCTGGGCGCTCAGGGCTGGGGGCAGGACCCACCTTGGCCAAGCTGGCAGTAAAGAGCACACACTCAAACAGCTGCCCCATCCTCTGGAGGAACTCGTCCACATGTGGCCGCTTCAGCACATACACCTGCAACGGCAGGGACAGCACGCTGGTCAGTCACAGCAGCCGCTGGGAAAGGCCTGGGGCCCGGACACCCTGCACAGGAAGAATTCCTAACCAGGTTCCTGCCTCCTGCCCCTTGGTTTAATGTGGTACGTACGAAGGGCTGTGCAGTCAGATATGGCGCTTCAGGCCAGACACACCTCAGATTGGGCTCCAGGTCTGAGTTCGGAGCAGACGCCCCTCCCAAGGGGGAAAGGGAAGCTGACCATGGTATTGAAGGTCCTGGGGATTTTCAGAACCAGTGAGTGGAAGGGTTGTGCCGCATTTGTGGGACACAATTCCTTCATTTCACGTGCGTTTCGCGGCACATGCTCTCAGTCAGGCCCTTTGTGGACACAGGCTGTGGTCTGGGGTAGTCCTTTCGGGAGGTCAGGGCCCGGCCCCCTGCCCGGCAGGCCTGGGATTGCTCCAGCTGCTACCTACTCTGATTGGAAACCCTCCCTTGCTAAGAAGGCCTGGGGTGGAGGAGCAGGCCCAGCAAAGTTGAAGGAAGGGCCTTCCTTGTCGGCTTGGGAAACCATCTACCTGACCCCACAAAGGTAACTCTGCTTGGGTCTGCTCCAGAAACAGATGCTTCAGGGGACTTGAAGCCAGCCTACCCCAGGCCCCGGAAACCAGCCATCAGGAGGAGCCGCCAAGCAGATGGGGCAAAGAGCAGCCTTTCCTAGAGTGGCTGGGCTCTGCTCCTGACTGGGGAGCCTGAACAAATGTGAGGAAACCTGGGAGCAGGGAGAGAAGGCAGAGCTGGCAAGAGAAGATAGAGGAGGTGGGAGGAGGGAAGAACTAATTAAAACTTGAATAAATTCCATCTGAAATTAGCCATTTCCCTAAAATAATTCAAACTTGTTAAAATTCAATTCAATTCATATTCACTCAGTCCCAGCTCTGGGCTCAGCCTGAAGCAGTTACAAAGGTGAGTGAGACACAGGCCTTGCCCTTGAAGAGCTCACAGTCTAGAGCAGACACACAGAAAAATATATCAAAATAAACATGTGTAATGAAAGCTGTAGTAGAGGGATAAATTGAGGATGATTAACTCCCCTCTCAAGGGGAGGGAATCACAAAAGGGAACATTTGGCTTGGACCTTGAAGGATGAATAGGAGTTCACCAGGCTGATAAGGATAAGAAGTGAGCTTCCAGACCGAGGAAACAGTATGAGCATGAGACCTGGCCTGAAGACACTTGGGGTGTTAGAGAATGGCCAGAGCCCTGCATGACCAGCCCTTCAGAGGCAGCAATAAAAGAGGGGGAAATGGGGGTAGAAAAGGCTGAAGATGAAATGTGAAAAGCAGGCCAGGGCGAGTAATGCATGGGGCCATAAACGAAGCAGGCTGGATACCTAACAGGACGAGTAACAGAGGGGAACGGGGCTCTGCCCCACACGGAGGATGTGCTGCTGGTAAAGGAGTTTACACAGAGCCAGGACTTGGTCGGAAACATGGCTGACTGAAAGGGTGTGTGGAGCAAGAGGAGCAGGGTGGCCTGGGTGTGGGTTGAGGGCTGGACCTGTGGCTGTAGTAGCTCCAGGCCCCACTTTTGCCCACAAGGCTGCTTGGTGCCAGGAACGGATCCGGCCTGCGGTCCTCAGTCTCCCTGGGAATACTGCTTGGAAAGGAAGCTTTGCTACACGCGAAGGGCAGGAGACTGGTTTGGGAACTCTGATGTTGGTGCCTCTGGCAGAGAGGAGGGTCCTGGGCCCCGGGGGCCAGCGTCCAGGCCCGCGTCCGCGTGCAAGTAACCAAGAATAGGCCCCTTGGGACCTGCACAGCCTATCCTGGATTACTTGAACGAGGCCACGGCCTTCGCCAGGGCCTTGGTCCTCCTCTGGGCGCCTGTGGCTTCATTCCCTCAGGAGAGAGAGTTTCTGACCCCAGCTCTGGGGTATCTACCACCAAGTGAATCACAGCACAGCCTGGAGGGCTGGGGCAGCTGGGCGGCTCCTTCGAGAATGGGCTGGCCATAGCAGGTCAGGTCCTGAGGGCCATGCTCACGGTCACAAGGAACAAAGGATTAATTTCTCTCCTAATTCCTGCCATGCCAGTGGGCAGCCTCTCCTTTGTCTCATTATCTTGTAACGAGGAGCCAAGATAATAGATGCAGAAGCCTTAACTGCTTCTCAGATGCTAAGTTAATTCTGTTGACGCTTCTGCAAATGTTAAATGCCCAAGTGCCTGCTCCCTGATGGCTTTTCAAAGTGTGAAGTGTGGAGACACCAGGGACAGAGCTGCCTTTCCCAGGGACTGGCCGGATTCCTGGCAGGACCTCCTGGCAGGGTAGGAGAGGGACTCGAGTATCACAAAAAGAGCCCTGGGTTAGGAAGAGGAGACTGGAGCTCTCATTTTAATTCTTCCTATCGTATGACCTTGAACCAACCCTCTCCCTGGCTGAGCCTCAGTTTCCCCTTGTGTGCTATGAGGTGGCTGGATCAGCCGATTCCCCCAGCTCTGACACTCTGCACTCAAGGGCCAAAGAGACTACCGACATCGTTAAGGAAAGACATCCTGTTACGGCTCAAGCACCAAGGGAGAGTTCTCCTGGGATATAAACACACCAGGCCAGATACTCTCCCTTTAGATCTTGGGGTTGACAAGGAAGATGACTGGATCATCCCTGTGGAAAATCTACAATGTCTTCCTGCAATGTTTCCAATATTTCATAAATGAAACTATTTCCAGAGGAGCTTCATGAAGAAAAAAGGAAAATAAGGGAAAAAAAATCAGAACAAAGATGTACGCCAGCTGACTAGGGCATCTTTAGTCAAAGCTGCCTGCTGATCCAAAAAATGCACACCCTTCCTCCTTTCCTTTTTGGGTTGGATTTTGCTAAATATTCACTGGAGAACACGATGCAGGAGTGACAAGGTAAGTCTGGACTGGCTGGCCTTGGAAATGGACAACTTTTCCCGAGAATCTACCATAAGCGGGTGACTTGTGACATTCTCCTGTTGTCTGCTAGGAGAGTAGTTGAAGCAATTATACAGGGAAGTTAATTAGACGATCAAGCTAGGCCAGTGGGGGATATGGAAACTTCTAAAAGTCTGCATCAAATCAAAGAACTATTGGAACTTGCAACCACATCTAATATTTACAAATAGATTAAGTTTCCCTTATAAATGAAGTATAAAATTCATCCGAGTGAAAAAAAAAGCAGAACATCATCGCATTTTTAATAAAATCTACTTCTTTTTGATTTAGGAATAAAAAGACTATGAAATGGGAATTTAGAAATACAGTTCACAGGAAACATAATTACTAAAAAATGCTAACTGAAACTCAGATTTAGCTTTGATTTCTTACCTGATGTATAGTTCCATCGATTTCAACGGGAACAATAAAATCAGCATTACTAATAGGCTAGAGAAAAAAGAAACTATAATTAGTATGTCTGAAAGAATAAAATAAAATTGGAAACTTTAGCACCAAAAAAGCTTGCCTGGACCAATGTTTTTATCGTTGGAAAAAACAATTCAGGAGGATGTTGAAGCATGCCATGGCTCCTCAAAATAAGCACAAGCAGAAAAGCACATTATTTTCTGTTCTGAACATTGTTACATTTTCAGCATCTTGGTGCAACTTTTTTATCACCTCCCTGGCCCCAACCACAAAGAGTGGTGCACCTGGCTTGGGAACGGGGCTTGTCAAACTCCCTGCTCTTGCCTAGAGCCCTCCCAGCATGGCAGGAACCACTGCTGGCCACCAGGGGGAGGAGGTGAGAGCCTGACGATCCCCGAGGACAGTGCTACTCAGGGGAAAAGAATTTGTCTTGGACCCACAAGTGCAGACTGCACTGTGAGGGGCTGCTTGACAGATGTTCAACACATGGAACCCAAGTGGGGCCCTCGGATATGTGGGGTGAAGTCAGAGGCCACAGCCACGACCTTGGGCGGGCCCTTTCCCCTCTGGACCTCGGATTCTCCTCTCTTCCACAACTAGAGCAAGGGATCTGATGAGTGCCCCTACCTCCATCCAGCATGCATCAGTGATTTCAGGCCTTGCCTGGCACCATCTCCTACTGGGATGTGGGGAAAGCCAGCCCACCCCAGACTGTTCTGCTCTACGTAACACAATACATAGCACACTCACAAGCCTCTGCATATTTAAAGTAACTCTGACAATAACACTTAAAATTCAAATAGGATGCTTCGGCAGTCACTATGTTCTCAATGATAGACTCACATACAGTTCTAAATGGAATTCCACAAATCAGGTAGAAATGAACAGGCCCAAGAGAATCATGAGACCACAAACCCTCGGGACATGTAGGAGAGAAACAGAGGGAGGGAGAACACGTGTGTGGTGGCCACAGGGCACTCTGGTCACAATCTGAACTGGGGTCTCTGCCTTTAAGCCCATTACTGTACACACACATTGTTCTTTGATATGTAAACTGAAAAAAAGGTGGAAAATACTAGATCACAGAACCATTACTAAGCACTCAGTAGAGCACCTGAGGCTTAAGATTATAGTGTCTTCACCGCTTTGGTTGGAAGGCCAAGGATGAGTTCGGTATTTTATAATTTCACAACTAAAATAGAGAATCAGGCTAGAAAACAAGAGACTGAAGGAAGAAATTCTCACAAGGCATTAGATTGTGAAATCATATTCCACAGAGTATAGAACAAGAGAAAACCATTGCCCAGCTCAGAGCAAGCACTGCCCTCCATCTTTTCTTGCACGAGACCGGGCCAAAGCCAGGGCTGTAAACCTGGGTCCTGGCCCTGCGTGCTGCACAGATGTGCAGTTTCAAGGAGAGAGGTTCACAGCTTTTGGATTCTCAAAGGGCTTTGAAATGCCCAGAACCTTAAAAACCATACGATAAAGAATATTCCGCTTGCAAATGTAGGCAGGCCAGGGAGGGAAGAAACAAAGAGATGCTGTTCATATCAGCCTGTCGCATCAACGCCCTCTGAGTAGGCCCTGGAGATACCAGGGGCTGCCAAGGCCTCGCCTTTGGAGGCAGGAACCCTCAGTAACCTCGGGCAGTCTGGCCAGCGATGCCCACACTCCCAGAGCTTCTTGAAATGAAGCTGGTCTATGCTGCAATGGCAACTGACCCCTGTCCTAAAGGGCTTTCTTCCTCAGGGACTTGAAAAAGTCTTGAGCATCCTGCCCATGGGGGAGAAAAGGCTTCCAATGCCATTCAGTGTTGAGTTGGGATATAAGGTCACTGCAACCCTGTAACCAATCCTGGAAGGGCCCTTGTGGGGCTGGGGAATGAGTGGTACCTACGTGGCCCAGCTGCCAGCCGGGCCATTTCTCACTGCCAGGGGTAAGTGTGGCCCTGCCTCCACTCTCCAAAGGACTCTAGGACAACTGCCTGGCCTTGTCCTGTCAAGGAGGATTCTGTTTAGTGAGAAGCAGGCACAAGGAGGGATGTTTCTGGCAGAAAGGTCTTCAGGAAAATTTGATGGCTCTCCCACTTCCCATAGAGCCATCAAGGAGTGACTGGCTGGTGTCAGACACACACTCCATCTTAGGTGGTGCTTTCACGTCTCTCAGCAAAGTAAACGGGGACATGGGCTGGGGGTAAAAAGAAGAATGTGGTCTAACTGGCCAGCAATAGTAGAGCAGTTCCATCACCAGAAACACCCAAGGAAAATAGGACAAGGACCCTACACACCTGCTTCTTTTCCCCAACACACCAGTCCCCTATTTCCAAACTTTTTTTTATCATTTGCTTCTTTTAAACAATTTCAAAAAATGGAAAAACGATTAATTAACTCATTTCCCAAGAGTGTAGCCATAGCTGTTCCTGCATAGAGGCCCTCAGGTAATTTGTAATCTTGGCTGTTCTGGCGGGGAGATGAAGATGGAGAGCAAGCTGAGCTCACTGCGGCCCTGCAGCCATCAGGAGGGAGGTCAGGCAGGTGGATACACATTAAGCCGTGAAGCTTAGGAAAAACTCCAGCAACCTCTTGTCATGAAAACGGTCAAGGTAAATGGCTGAATGTGTTCGGATGCCGTTAACTCTGGAAGTCTTCTTCAGAGTTGGGCATCTTCCAAAACTTGGTCTGGGAACATTTCCAGGATAGTCGGTTGCTTGATGGTTTTCAACAGTGCCTCCCCTGCCCCTCCCAATACAACTTGCAGCACGTATAGTGCTCCGGTTACCTTGACAGACACATAGCAGTGTCCTGGGGCACTGATTGCCTTGTGCCACCTGAAAAGTATTTCTGCAGGGGGCAGAGTGTTGGAAAACTCAAACTGCATACGTAAGAATGAAGTCTCAGGGATATTGGCAGCCCCAAGCTAATCATGTTAATATTCAGCTACTTGAGTTAATGTTCACCTGAGTTAATAAGCAACTGTTACTGGGATTTCATAAACAGTGAGGTCATACGCCAACAACCACAAGCTTTCATCCTTTTAATTTTCCCTTTTCCAATACAACTGTGACCAAATCACAAAGATCACTGATTGTTTTTTATGTTGATTTACCTTAAATGAACTGTGCACCAATGTTTCATCTAAATCAATGACCACACATTTCTTTCCATAGTCAAGCACCGTCACCTCTGGAAGGAGATACTTAGCTGGTGGCTAAAGGGGGGGAAAATCAATATTATTACCTTTATGTAAAAGACAAACCAAATCCCTTATAACTGTATTACACTATGTCAGTGAGGTCAGAAATAAAACCAAACATTTAAATGCCTGGTCAAGCACATCATGGAATTTTATTAAAAACAATGGGAATAAGCAGTTTGCAATTGAAGTTTTACCAAGCAAATACTGTGCCACTTGCCTGAACGGCTATTATGAGGGCCTGGACTTTGGAACCAGACAAACTTGGGTTTGAATATCAGCTCTGTCTGTTCTTTGGCTGTGAGTTGGGATAATAATACTTACCACGAAAGGTTGTTATCAGCTATAATTGCAGTAAAACACCCAGCATTCTGCCTGGCACATATGTGGTGGCTATTGTTATTATTAAAATGGACAACATGGGCTTCCCTGGTGGCGCAGTGGTTGAGAGTCCGCCTGCCAATGCAGGCGACACGGGTTCGTGCCCCGGTCCGGGAAGGTCCCACATGCCGCGGAGCGGCTGCGCCCGTGAGCCATGGCCGCTGAGCCTGCGCGTCCGGAGCCTGTTGCTCCGCAACGGGAGAGGCCACAACAGTGAGAGGCCCGCGTACCGAAAAAAAAAGATAACATGAAAATGAATATTAAATTATAATCGCTACTCTAACCATGCAGCCTATGTTCCGGGGTCATATTTCATCTGAAATTCACTGTGGTATATAAGCATATTTTAGAGCTTTATTGGACCATAGTATTTTTTTTTTTTTTAAGTGATTGAAGCTTTCAAAAAACTTTAAGAGAAACTATAGAACTACCAGCAAAATGCAATCCAAAGTGACCTCCAATAATAGGAAACAGAAATAAAACTGGTCCACGTACAGTGCCCTGCGTTGTACGTGCCCCACTGTGGTATAATATCGAGTAAAGGTGGCACTTTTATCCCTTGGAGTCTCTGTCCCTGGAAGTTATACTTTAATCCACATGCTGCGTGTTAACCAGAAAATCCATTTATATGTCTTTGTAGTAGCTGACTTTCATGTTATAATAAAAAAGTCATAAAGAGTTGATAAAATGCTAGATATCTTCAGCCAACCTCATTCTTGATTTAGAGTATTTATTTCTTGGGCCTTGCCTCATTCTAGAAATGATGTGAAGTATTTCAGTTTACTTTGTGGCATATTCAGTATCCAATGTTAACTAGCTAATTTTCTGTCCTGGAGGAAGGTCAAGCTATTTCCATATTTAATGCAAAACAAAACACAAGAAAATATCTGTTCCTAACCACTGAAGAATGGACAATTTAGCTTATCAAATAAAACAAGAAAAAAATGAAATAAAAAAGTATTCCCTTTTAAATGGCTATTTCTCTCTCTCTCTCTCCTTTTTTTTTTTGGTTTCAGTTGAACATTAGTTAGGGAATTCATGTTCATTTTGGACTTGAGCTGGTTCAATAGTGAATGTAAAGCAGGCGGTCAACAGGGTAGGTAAATTTGCAAGTGCTATGATCATCTTGGCTGGAGGGATTGTCGGGGCGGAGTAAGATGAAGCAATGTGTGGAGACACGAGCATTTCTAATTCCTGGGGGGTAATCTCTAGTAAGCGTGGGTGTTTCATCCTCTCCAACATCATCTGGCAGAAAAAGCCCTTACGGCCTCCCAACTCCCTTGGCTCTAATGAATGTTCACCAGGCAGTATCCCTGAGAATGTGGCACTGGGAAAGGCGTGCCTTAGACTTGGAGTGTGGGACCCAGTGTCCTGGAAAGGACTATGTCCTTCATTACAAATCAGCAAGCAGGCAGGTTTTATTAAAAAAATTAAAATAAACTTGCAAGAAGTTCAAAAGAGGTTTAAAAAGGCAGGGTGTGATGAGCCCAATAAATGAACGTAATAGGACTGGGGTTATTTCTGTTGTGTGAGCCATAGCAGAAAGCATGCTTGTGACTAGAATAAAATTTGTTTTAATTTTCTATTATACAATTATGTAATAAAACACATTCTCATTGTAAAGAATATAGACATATAAAACACAAGTATTCCCTCTTCCATGCTCATCCCCCCAATTCCTTTCCCCAGGTGCCCCCCCCTTTTTAGTTTGGTGTGTATCTGTCTAGCCCTTTTTCTATGCGTTTATAGACTAAAACAGCATTTTAACTTTAAGTAATTGCTAGTCTGGAAAATAAGGATCTAGAACTTCTATCCCTAGCATATCTGAAAACATCAAAGCTCTGCCAAAAGTGGCTCAGTTATTTTCCAAACCAGAGAATGAAAATTACTTTCTTCGCAGGTTTAACCCACACTTTACAAGCATTCTCTGAGTTAACAGTAAGGAAAAAGCCTCCCCGCACTATTTTAAGAGAGAAAAGAGCAAGCGGGGTGACAGGCATAATAAGCAAGCTATTGATTTAGCATTTCTGCTGCAGAGAACAAGGCCAGGCTGGGGCGACACGCTGCAGGGGGCGGTCCATTAAGCCTTAGCCCAGTTCCTAAATGCACGCGGCTTCCCTGAGAGCTCGGCTTTAGATTAATGCAAATTCCTCAGACCAGTGCTAAGAATTCTTCTGGACAGCTGTGTCCTTGGAACATGCAAGGATACTAGATAATTGCGATAGTGTTTTGTGACTTCAATTGATCTGCTCAGGTGATGCTTGAATCATTAACTAAAAAATGTCCTGATGCAAATTTTCTCTCAGGTCATCATTAAGCTGAAGAACAGGGCAAACACCAGTTATGTCAAAAAGAGCCTTTTCTAAACACAGTGACTTGCTTCCAAGCACAGGTGGGCACTGCCAGGGGGGTGGGGTGGGAGTAAGAAAGCATGGGGGGAGGGGGAGGTTTGAGAAGGGCATTCATGCCATTGCTCTTTCTGGAAGTGGATGTGAAAGTTCCTGTCCTTGGCTGTGAACGGGCAGCCAGGAATAGTGAATCTAAGGTATCCACCCCATAACACACCCTTGCAAATGTTACAGAGTGGTGCCTCTTCTTGGTATGCTGGATGGTTGTCTGTGCACTTGAGCTCTCAGGCTCCAAGTCTGCACACTGCCCACCTCCCTCCCCTCGCACCTCCCGAGCTCAGGGCAGAACTCTCGGGGCTGCTGCAGGAGGGGCAAAGGAGACTGGACACCAGCTCTAACTAGAGGAGTTGCTCTGCTTCTCTGATCTTCATAAGGTTTGGTGGAAAAAAGTATACTACTGTTTACTAAAAGGCTTAGGCCAACAGCATAGAAACGTAACTGTTAGAAAACAAATTTCTCCTCTCCACTTTCAGCAATTTTATGGCTCAGCTGCACTGTCAACCCCGAGCTGGAAGCACCAGGGATGTACATGATCCCAGTGAGCATGTGGGGAATGGTAGGGGTCTGGTCCTCACTGGGGCCAAAGCATCGGAGTGTTCACCTTCAGAGTCACCACCAAACTTCACGGTTTCCAAGCCTGTCCCTCTGCATCTTTCCTTAGCCTTCAACACCTGACTTTTACTGGACAGAACATGAGGCTTCCGATAAGAGGTACAGAGGGCCTCAAACCCCAGCTCCCAGTTGGGAGACAAATGTTACTAAGTGAAACGTTTAAGATCAAATCCAGATAAAGATGTTATTTCTAATAGGTGTACAAAAGATGGGTTACTCAATAAATGATGCTGAGACAACTGACTTGCCACCTGGAAAAGCAAATAAAGCTGGATTGCGACTTCATGCCCTACACCAACATAATCCAGATAGATCAAAGATGTAAGTGTAATGATGAAACTGTTAAAATACTAGGAGACAAGTGGGTCACAGTCATAGAGTGGGGAGAGCTTTCTAAGCATGACAAAGTTCAGGAGCCATAAAAGATAAGATGAACACATTTCCCTATATAAAATTGCACTCCTTTGTGGCCAAATGATTATAAACAAGGCCAAAAAATATATCACAAATTTGGGGGAGAGTGCTAATTTCCTTGAAATTTAAAAAGATAATAGTATAGAATCTAGAAGAAATGAATAGGTAAGAAGAAATACATATGGACAATAAACTTGTGAAAAGATGTTCATACTCATTCATGAAGAAATGCAAATCAAAGCAATAAATCTTTACTTTCAGATTAGCAAAGATCAAAGTATTTGCTAATTACCATTTTTGAAAAGGGAATGGGCTCTTGCTGGGAATGTAAATTAGGTTTCCAGAGGGCAATTTGCCTTTAATCTACCAGAAATATAAAGTATACCCTTTGACCTAGCATTTCCACAACTAGGAACTGATCACCCAGATACTATCACCCAGATACTATCACTCAGGTTGACAAACACACAGCACAAGAATATTTGTAATAGCACAAAAGTGGACACAACGTAAATGCCATCAACTACATGTAAACAATGAGGCAGCTCGCTATGTACTAATACCTGGAAGGGTGTTCAAGGTACCCTGATAAAAGCAAAAAGCAACTCGCAACACTCTCGTTTGTTTAAATATGCCTGTGTTGATTTAGAAAATTTCTGCAAGGATATACAAAAAATGTTAGAAGGCTATTCTAGAGAGTGGGATCAAGTTGGGAGATTTTTGTTTTCTACTTTAATCTTGCAGTAATTTTTTAAACCATGAGTTTGAATAATGAAAAAATATGAATAATGAAAAGTGAATAATGAAAAAATGAGCTTAGTAAAAAAAAAAAAATCAAAAGATGGAGGCTGCACATATAAACAGCAGCATGAGAATAAAAAATGGAGGGCTCATGAGGTGAGCAGCAAGAGACGGGCACTCCAGCCGGATCTCCTCTGGGCACCCACAGGCTTAGGGGCACCTTTCGTCTTCTGGGCCTGGAAAAAGCTTTCAGCGGGAGTGGGGACTTGGTTTGGAGGCTCAGCACAAGCCTGGATTTCTGGTCCTATGTGGTAGCTCTCCAACAAGCTCTCAGGGGCTCCTAGCACTAACTAGGTCCCCCGTGGTCCAGAAAAGGCAGGGCTACTGTTTATGTGAGCTGCAGTCTCGACAGGTAGGTGCAGATTCTGCAGGAGACCCCAAGGCTCGAATCCTGGGGCAGAGCTGTTCTCCAGATGGACTTGGGTTTAGTGCTGCATGCTAAGCACGCAGTGGAGATCACATGGTACCCATTGGTGGAACTGCTGTTCTGGAAGTACTTATTCAAAGGTGCAAGTTACTTTAGCTAGGCTTTGCTTTCTTCTTGTAAGATATTTCAGATTCATAAGGCCTGACCCAATGTCTCACATGTAGGAAGCAGTCTGTGGTTTACTGACCTAACACTGGGCTAAACTGTACAAAGCATCTTTTTCCTCTTGGCTATTTTATTCTGGGACTCTAGAAAGAGATTTGTGAAGAAAGGGTCATTTTTCTCTACTGTGGGTGCCCAGTAGAGCGTTTACTCTGACAAATGCTTTGATTCAGCACTTAACTTTATAGATAGCTGTGAATTAACTTTGAGGAAAAAAAACAGTGCTATCGGAGTCTCAGAGGTAGGGGGAGAGATGCCACCTGTGGAACGTAGACACCTTTGCAGGAAAAATATACGAAACTACTTTGTATAAAGATTAAAAAGAGGCCTCTGGTATCAATCCCATTGGGTATCCTACTCAAACACTGGATAAGAAGTCGTGCTGATTGATCCATGTTTTTGATCAAAGTCAGTTCCCAACAAAGTCCAACCCCCAGGCACGCTAGCAAAGTCAGAATCACTCCACAAACGCTTGCAACTTGTTAATCAATGGAGAGTTAATGTTGTGAAAATAAGTGAAATTAACAAAAATATTTTGGGCAATTTATAGGTGACATGCATTGCCAAATTTGAAGTCAAACTGTACAAATGAAATCCATCATTTCCTTCAATGTAAGACTGCTGTGTCTCTTGGATGTTCCCAGAAAACATGTGAAAAAGTCCAAGTAAAGATAGATGATTAGACTTGAATCAGACAATCTGAATCAGAGAATCTTTATGGATTAAAATATCAATTTCTGAGAATTCCCTGGCGGTCCAGTGGTCAGGACTCCGCTCTTTCACTATCGAGGGCCCGGGTTCAATCCCTAGTCAGGGAACTAAGATCCCACAAGCCACGTGCGGTGTGGCCGAAAAAAAAAAATCAATTTCTGGACAACTTTTAAAAACCTAAATCCTTCTCTAAGGACACAGGACTGTTTCAGAGATCCTGTTTGATACAGACATCTCAACTGCAAGTTTCTTTTGGGAGTCGGTCATTGGTCTGCTTCTTGCTTGCTGACTGGCCTCAGGCCACACGGCTCGGCTGGCAGAGAAGACAGAAGCAAAGGAGCGGTGGGGAGAGCAGCTGTCTGAGGGGTGGCCGGTCCAGGCCTGTGCTGGGGCAGACACTGGTGCAGGTAGTATCCCAAATTCCAGGACTGAAAACAGAAGTTGGTGGTCCAAGGGAGTGCTTGGCTGGGGCAGAGTTGCAGTACAGCCGGCCTGTGGGATTTGAGGGGCAGAGGGCAGGATGGTGGTGATGGTAGGGTGATTCTGCAAGTTCAGGGAATACGATTGAGGAGATTTTTCTGATCAGAGCCACGGCCAAGCTACCGACACTGCTGAACAGTCAGGGATGGTCTGCTCCCCTGGGATGGGGGTGTGGTTAACCTAGTCCCACTGGGACAGAACCTGGTGCAAAGAACCCTACTGGGGCAAAAGTATGTTCTTGCAGTCTATGGAGTGGGGGAGTGCTGCCTCGGCTCACTAAGAGACGTGGAGGCCCTTTGCAGAGAGAAAGGTGAGAATTTGGTTAATAGATGCTGGTTGCCTTGCTGTTCCTAAGAAAGGAAACTTGTACAGAACTTCCTGCTCTCTGTTTGAAGTGTAGCTTCACTTTTTTTTCTCAACAGACCAGAGCTGTTAATACCACACGATAAAAACTCAATATAAGCAAGAACATTAAAAAATCTTTTATATTAGTAGGCCGAAAGCTACAAGATTCTGTAACTGTTTAAGTAAAATTGGATAAATATACATACACTTGGTATGGGAATGATCTGCCTCTGGTCACCCTGAGGAGAGAGAAAAAAAAAAAAATCACTGTCAGGTTCAAAGAGAAGTAGATCATATCTCAAAAGAAACTTCAAAGCACTCTTGAGTACAGCGGCCGTATGATTGCCTGTTCTCTGTACCTTGGTGGGATTTTTGTTTTTTTTGGCTGTACGCGGGCCTCTCACTGTTGTGGCCTCTCCCGTTGCGGAGCACAGGCTCCGGACGCACAGGCTCAGCGGCCATGGCTCACGGGCCCAGCCGCTCTGCAGCATGTGGGATCCTCCCGGACCAGGGCACGAACCCGTGTCCCCTGCATCGGCAGGCGGACTCTCAACCACTGTGCCACCAGGGAAGCCCCCTTGGTGGGATTTGATGAACAGGAGGAACTCAAAGATATTCCACAGTTAGGGCACTGGGCTCCACTCTGCCTCCCAGACAGACCAGAAGATGTGGTACATATATACAATGGAATATTACTCAGCCATAAAAAGAAACAAAATTGAGTTATTTGTAGTGAGGTGGATGGACCTAGCGTCTGTCATACAGAGTGAAGTAAGTCAGAAAGAGAAAAACAAATGCCGTATGCAAACACATATAAATGGAATCTAAAAAACAAAAAAGGTCATGAAGAACCTAGAGGCAAGACGGGAATAAAGACGCAGACCTACTAGAGAATGGACTTGAGGACACGGGGAGGGGGAAGGGTAAGCTGGGACAAAGGGAGAGAGTGGCATGGAAATATATCCACTACCAAATGTAAAATAGATAGCTGGTGGGAAGCAGCCGCATAGCACAGGGAGATCAGCTCGGTGCTTTGTGACCACCTAGAGGGGTGGGATAGGGAGGGTGGGAGGGAGGGAGACGCAAGAGGGAAGAGATATGGGGATATACGTATATGTATAACTGATTCACTTTGTTATAAAGCAGAAACTAACACACCATTGTAAAGCAATTATACTCCAATAAAAATGTTAAAAAAAAAAAAATGGCTCCAGACACAGCCAAATGTTCGCTAGGGGGCAAAGTCATCTCCATTTGAGAACCAATGCGCTAGTGGGAGATGGCAAACAGCCCTAACACGCAGGTGTACCTTCAGACCAGGTGAGCACGTCAGTGAGGTGAGAGATAACACCACCAAACGGTTATTTGGGAAGGGCTTGACAAAACACAGACCACAACCAAAGGTGCCACCCTAGACAAGTATGTGGGCTTGAAAATTACCCTAGAGGTTTACGTGTGTGTGTGTACATGGGATACGCATGTGTGAGTGAGCGTCCAGCAATGGCTTTCACTCTGTCCTTGCACTTAGAAGTCCTCCATGATCTCTGCCATTGGGGCCTTCTGCGTGCTGACTCCTTCTAGCCTCCAGACAGGGGCTGCAGACACTTTTATTTTGGGCAACTTGTCTCCAGTCCAGGCTGTAACTGTGACGGTCACAGTGTTAGCCACCCCAGGCCACTGCTCTGAAGCTTTTCTCCAGGACAGTAAATATGCAGGGTGGATGGAACCATCTGCTGCATTCTGTCCACAGCCTTCCCTCCTCCTCTGGCAGGCTGAGCTCCAAGAGGCTGGGAGAGCCCAGGAGGCAGCAGTAGAGACAGGCCTGGAATCGGCTTCCACATCTACTGAGCCTGGGCTTTACGTTCCAGGTGTCCTGACCAGGTGAGTGCAAAGGGCAGAGTCGCCCCACTTTGACACAGGCTCTTTCTACAAGGTCTGGTCTCACACACTGAAGGGTCGCGGATTATGCAAACGATGCACTACTCAGAGTTAACTTAATTCTTTAAAAAGCCACTCTGACAAGTGTTAACCAAAGGACGTTTCCATGAGTGAACACTAGGTCCAGCTAAGCCCAGCTCTGCCAGAGGAGTTCCCTTTAAAGGACTTTATTCTCTGGTAGATATGGCTAAGGGCTCCAGGAAACCTTCCAGGGCTGCACCACCATCTTCTCAAGTCATTCATCTAGGCAGGTACTAGGTAAAAATAACTTTTACTATGACAGCAGTGATTCTTCACTTTTTAAATCCTTCACAGGCCTAGGGTACAAACTATGTTCCCTTCACTAATGGGGATTCTCCTCAGCAATGATTTTCAACTTGGGAAAATTGAGAGTTTGAGGGGAGATATCAGAATTCGGGGCTGTGATAGGGTTTACAGTGAAATCTCATCATACAAATTCCACTTATGGTTTTCTACACCAATGTATAGTACAGCTTAATATCTCTTAAGTCTAGGTATCTTTCATTATATTAATATTTTTCCAAAAATTTCTCAGCTGTTCTTTTTTTTTAAAAAATTTATTTATTGGGCTTCCCTGGTGGCACAAGTGGTTGGGAGTCCGCCTGCCGATGCAGGGGACGTGGGTTCGTGCCCCGGTCCGGGA